AAAAAAAAAAAAAAATTAGTAAATGTTGGTGTCCCCACGCGAAATCGTTTGATAAATAATCTAAAGCCAATAATAAATTTTGTAATTCTGATAACATATATCCATTAATAACCCCTCACAGTCTCACACACAAGCGACACACATTTAATTTTTACTACTATACACAACTTCTGAATTCCAATAACTACACACACCCGCAATGTGGACCCAAACTAATGGGCTTACAGTTATTAATTAAGGCTGAGCCCACATTCACCCACCACTACCAACTCACGATAAACTAGCTTCCATTCATAATCAAACAAACAGATGCAGATGAAAAAAAAGTAAGTAAAATAGTTAAAAATCCTCACGTCTTAAATTAAATTGGGGATGAAATAAACACGGGTGGAAACCTAATTTTCAGCATTTATTGGGCGAGAACCCAATAACAGATCTTGCGATATCAAAACTGACACGTGTCCCCTGCTGCTGCACATTTCCGATTATACCCAGCGACGACGCCGTTGGGGCAAACGCGAAACAGAAGGTCCCCGATGAATCCACCGGAATCATGTAATTCTTCGCCGGTAAACCCAGCTCCTTGCCGTTAGAGAAGTGAAACGACACCGTTGGCACCTCCACGCTCTTTCTCGAGCTCAGATCGTAGCACGTGTCGAATAGCGCAACGCCGTTAGTTAACGGCAGGTTCACCGTCCCCCTACGGAAGGCGTCCCTCAGCGAGTTGTACGCCTCCGTCTGCAGCCTCGTGACGGCAGTCCCGGAATCCACTATGACGCCGCCGCTTCCGTCCTCGCCCAGCCGGAAGGTTTCCGGCGGAATCGGCAGCAGGTCTCCGGCGACGCTCATCCCGACTAGATCCACGTAGTAGAAGGTGTCCACCTTCGAGTTCCGGACCAGAGACGCCGCCACGGCGTCGGGCGGCGCAGCCGCGTTGAACTCCAGCGTGGACGCCGAGTTGGAGTCGCGGTCGACAAGGCAGTATGAGAAGGAGGAGGCGTTGATCTGAGAGGGGAACGACAGCGGGCCGCCACCCAAGCCGATTAGCCCGGCGGCGCCGACAAAGAGGCCCTCGTTGTTGTGACCGCATCCGATGGCCACGTTGTCGACCGCGGCCGAGCCGCCGAATGTTATGGTCTCCGTCGCGAAATCCCCGACGGTGTAGGAGCCGTCTCCGTAGGAGACCTGGTAGAGGCACGTGTCGTTGCGGCACTCGGATACATCGAGCGACCGGCACTGCTGCGCCTCGCACCCGAGCGGGGAGAAGGAGGATGACCGGACCGGATCGAAAATGGGGTCGGTCTGCTGGTAGCACTCACCACAGGGAGCGCATTGCACCCAGTTGACATCGCTCCCGGTGTCGAGCACCATGTACACCTCCGACGGTGGCCGGCCTATTCCGACGCGGCAGAAGTACTCGCCGCTGCCCTGGCTGGTGCCGGAGATGACCTGGCCTTCCAATTTGTCCTCCACTAGCTCGACCTCCAACGGCGTCAGATCTGCTCGTTTTATCCCCAGACTCGCCAGATCTACCCGAGTCTGAATCGCCTTGACTCGGGACGAGTCGCGAGCGAGTCTAGCCGACACGACTGCTCTGTAGTCCTTCTCCGAGCTCCCGTGGACGGACAACCGGTTATGGATCTGGAAACTCAGTTGAGATTCGGAGAAGACAATCGGGCGCCGGTGGTGTTGTACCTCGTGCTTTGACTGTAACACATTTCCGCCGAGCGAGAACTCTTCTGCTCTGGAAATTGAGGAGGAAACATCTAAAATAGTGGTTTTTGAACTGCTCGACAGTGTTCTCGAGAGAACTGAAGGGGCAAAAATGGAGAAAAACGCCATGAAGATGCAGATTTTCTCCATTGTTGAGTGAGTGAGTGAGTGAGTGAGTGAGAATACAAGTTTGTGGGTGAGTTGATTTTATACAGAGAGCGATAAATTGAATCACGCCGGATTTGTTGTAAGGAGAGAGAGAGAGAGAGAGAGAGAGAGAGAGAGAGAGAGAGAGAGAGCTTTGAATGTGAGGGTAAGGTTTGTTGGTGATTTATTGTTGTTTTTAAGATTTTTTCTTTGTGTGTTTGTGTTTCAAAGGTCATTAGATATTCACCTCATTTGCATGAACTTATTATTAATGTCCCGTCACGGAAAAGGAGCTCCAACTGATTAATTATTGTTATTGTGACCACCTAAATTACCAAGTGATTAAAGCATCGTTAATTTATTGTTTTTCACCAAGAGCGCTTGGATGAGATGGTTTGGATCTCTTCCAGCTTAACCAGTGATCTCGTGTTCGAGTCTTGAGGAAGAGCTTTGCCGTCCTTGTGGTCCTACCCGACTCGATTTCGAATTAGTCGGTTCTCATGTGGATTCAGAAACCAGAAGGTCCATGTACCAAAAAAAAATTATTGTTTTTCAAAGTGTTACTTTTGGAACTTTTTTAGTGAGTGTAATTTGGAATGCTTTGGAGGAATAAGAACATCTCCAACTGTTAACATGAATTCGAAGGTATGTAGGAGATGTTTCATCCACGTGGAACAAATAAAAGTTTAATCTCATACGAAAGTCTCCAGTTTGAGTTCTATCTTCACATTATCTATTTATTTTATGTTATAGAAAAAGAAAACAAATAAAGGGAGTGGAGGAAAATCTGAGTCACCACGTCTGACATGATCACTTCCACACGTAAAAAGAGTGCTAGACTTTTTTTTCTTGTCTTTACAGTCACGTCATTGTGATTAACATGTAGACATTAACGATTGGAGATGTTTTTTTACTGAATTGCTTCTATATTTCTACAATTAACAATCCATTGGAGATGCTCTAATTCAAGTTTGTTTGCTTTTGTCTGTTTAATGACGAAAAGTTGTCCTTAATTGGTTGAGAGGTTTCCAAGAGCTTTCTCAAGAAAATACTAGCAAGATTTAGTAAGCAAATTTTAATAGCTCTAAGATCTTATATTGTGTTTGGTATTCGAAAAACTATATATATTTTTGTACTCCTTCGTCCAAGGTTCTGAAAACCAAACCGGTTATCGAACCGGTGAAACTACCTGACCGATTCCCAGTTCAACCCGGTTTTCAGAACCTTGCCTCCATTAGGAAGATATAAATTAAGAATCTCTTAAACTATTTTCCCTAAGAAGAGCGTGTGGGTCACATAGTCATAGAGGACAATGAAATTATTTATGTTTATCACGAGATGGCCGCTTTGCCTTTTACTTTATTTTTCTTTTTATTTCTTATGTATAGATCTTTTTATGGATGCATTGATTTGGTTGGGTGTAGTGTGGAGATGGGAGGCCAATAGTGGTGGACCAAATGAGTTTTAAGTGTGTAAAAATGGTGGACCAAATGAGTTGTCTGTGAATTAATAACATAATTGTTTTAAGCTTTTCAAACCGACCTTTTGCTTTGTTCTTATAATTGTTGTGAAGAAGTTGGTGCCGTGTAATAATTTAGTGTTTGGTCAAATGCTTCATCCTTAGATAATCTTTTGTTGCCTTACATAATCAAGATTCAAGAATTCTTGTGCTCGTGCAATTCTCGTCAAAAATCTTCTACAAAAAGTGTGGATTTTTTGTGACATTGGTCTATGTTTGAATCTACCATCACCATGGCTTGTATATCGAGTTAAATGGATCAGAAAAAGTTAATGGTATAGGCGGATAACAATACATATTTCAAGATAGATTTAGAAAAAAAAAACTTTTGGTACAATCGAACATTTTTTTTTTAATATTCATGTCTTGACAACGAAGTCAAACTTGAACTAGATTGGTCATTTGGATTGGATTGGATTGTAATCGCGGTCAAAAACAAAATAACCCGATCAAACCCGATTGTCTCGGTTGCGACACGATTGACCCGACTTGCTCAGGTCAACCTAGCTGATCCGACCAATTTTAATTTTATTTTTATAAATATTGTTTCTTAATTTAAATTTTAAAAATAAAAATTATGTGTCTATAATTATGAGGCAAATCAATATGATGATATATAATACTATTCTGATTTTGGTTGTAAAATTTACTTAAAAATTATTTATTTTTGTTGTTTTTATGTATATTTGAAATATATATATATATATATATATATAAGTTTTTATATTTCCTAAAATTAACTATTTGATTCAACAACAGACTCAAGCATACGATATACTTAGACTCGTTACCCTAAAAGTAAGTCTAATTCGTTGTTCGCTTCGGGTTCCAAAAAATTCGGGACAATTAAATTTGTGCGTTCCTCCCAACTCACAAAAGCAATCCACAAAGTTAGAGAAGAAGAAAAACAACAAAAAATGGAACTTTAAACAGAAAATTTTCTCTCAAGGTACGTGTTCTCTTTTTCAACCAATGAAATAACATATAGAGAGAGATATAGAGAAATTAAATAAATGAGTTTTAACTTTTAAAATGATAACTTGAGGCTCAATCCTAGTATGTGACAAGACGGCCAAAATTTACTTTCCAAAATGCTTTTAGTTATTGGCCCATCGGCTATGTTGACCGTTAACTGCAATGTTGATCGTTGACCCGCACCGTTGTCGGAAGACTCCGTAAGTTTGAGAAATGTACATTAAGTTCATACATAATGCATACTTAGTTGATAAAAATTTCGTATTTTGATTTGCTAAATTTATACTTAAATATTCTAAAGTGTATACTTAGTTATCAGGAAATGCTTATTTGTCAAACACAAAGTATATATACTTTGGAGTTATGAATATGAGATCAAGTAGAGAGAGATGTGTATAAAATATCTAAACTTTTAAATTGCATACTTAGTATAAAAAAATATTTATTTATTATAGACCGAGTGCATACATTATGAAAATGAATGTTAGCAAAGCACCTAAGATTTACATCTTCATTGTGATCATCGGTGTCGAAACTGTTCTAGGGCTCAACTTTCTCCATCACTGCGCACATCAGCAGGAAGTAGGTTGGCGATTGCTACTGCTTTATAATATTCATGTACGAAATTAATAAATCAAAATATGCAATTTGTATCAAGTAAAAATGCATTATGCATGAACTAAATAAACTACGTATGAACTAAGTGTGCAGTTTTGAAACTGACGGTGGCGTCGCTAATGGTGACGACTGCAATTCACTTTTGAACAAAAAAATAACTTTATCTTTATTGATTAATGTTCGAAAGGGCTAACCTAGTCAGGAATCTTCAGCGTCGAAGGGCATTGAAGTAGTCCTCAACGGTATCCTGGTATGGCCGTGCCTTATTGATTAACTCTACTTCTACTTGAGAAGAGAATTCTTTTTCCTATATCTGATAGTTGTGGCAGCTCATATTGTTTATTGACCATAATTAAAAAACCGAGTGAGCATAGGAAACATATTTGAACAGCTATAAAGACTTTGATTTCTTTCTTTTTCATGTTTTGAGACAAGTTGTAAAAATAGACTATTTGTTTACAGTGGTTGGGAAGAAGTTTGATATAGGATATTATACTAGACTGGGTTTAATGGATACAACAAATACATATTGGAGGATAAGCCCACATACGGACTAAGACATAGAGCATAACAATATGGGCCAAGCCCACTTGAGCCCAAAAATGGTACACTCCCCCTATAAAAGGGGGTTAAGGTATCACATTCTCTCATTCTCAATTCACTAGTGTACACCCCGTGCGATGCACGAGAACAATATTAAATTAATAATATTATAAATAAATCTCGAGTTTGAGTCACCCAATGGCGGAAGTGGAAATTACTATTGATCCTATTTACAAAGAGGAAGAAAAAAATAATAATTATAAATTAAAGAGGAGAATAAACTATACTTAATAATTATAAATTAAAGATTCGGGGTCAAACAATGTAAAATTATTTTGTATAATAGAATATAAAATTTACATTATTTTGTATAAGAGAATATAAAATTTGTACATTTAATATTAAGAACACCTAAAATATTATATTAGTATATGTAATAGTATTCAAATTTTTCTATATGCTTTTTGAAAGATGTGAAATCACCTACAACTTTTCTAAATAATGAAGAAAAACATATCTAAAAACATTTGAATTTAACATTGTGTAAAAAAAAAAAAAAAAAAAAAAAAAAAAAATTCTAGGCTATTTTGTAATAAAACATGTCTACATATATTTAAATTTAACATCAATAATGTGTATGTGTATATGTATAAATATATAGACGAATATGTAAAAAAATGTCTAAACAATTTATTTTAAGTATCTAAAATATTATATATAAAATCATACCGAATTTATGGTGTTCCATCTAAAAATATTTGATTACAAACAATTTGAAAGTTATTAGTTTTGATACCAAAAATAATTACAAATATTTATTTTGATACCAAAAAAAAGGAAAGAGAATAACAAATTCTACGCAATAAATCAGCCGATTTGTTACCCTATCTACCCAATCAATCAGTCGTTGACTACCCTATCTACTAAAAAAAAGGAAAGACAATTGCTAATTTTTAGGACACTGTTACTGAAATTGGCGGGTGATTATATATACATATATTGGCGGGAAAAATTGGCGGGAATCCTTAAAAGGTTATAGATAGATTCTATACTACACTCTCTCTCTCTCTCTCTTGATCTGAGCACTGACTTAGGCATCGGAGGCCCGACGCTGGGGCCACCCCCGGCGTTGGGTTCTGCAAGTACGGAGGCCGTTCGAGTTGAAGGAGCCCGGATGAAATCTATTTCACTTCATTGGCACCGTCTGTGGGACCCGTTAAAAAAGTCAAGCGAGTTCCGACTTAAAAAATTGGAAAACCTCCTTCTTCTCCACCGGCCGCCGCCACAGCCGACCGCCACTTCCGTCGCCGGCCGCCGGAAAACTTGCTCCGATCGGAAAATCGTTAAC